CGCAGGACACTGGACAAATGGACAACTGGACGCAGGACGAGCGACCGAAAACCGGACAGGTTTGACTTGCCTCTGTCATCCGACGGCATTCAATCCTTGCTCTCTCAATCGCAGTGGCATTTGTTATGGTTGCAACGGGTAGCCTGCTGCGGCTGTTGTTGATTGTCAAATGCAAACTGTGCCGCCTCAGAATCTGTGACTCCATCCATATCCAGCAGATGGAGATATATTGGGTATACTGTGTTCTTTTGAATAATATCTAAGAGATAAAGAGCTAAAAACGCGTAAAACATTTTGATAATTCTGTGCATCTCTGATTAAACTTGTAAAACGTCTTACGAAATATTAAATGGATGTATTTATATCATCATTACCAGCTGAATATTAAAATGTAACTCCAAAATTTACTAAGAGAGCTTTAAAGACAATGCAGTCCCATAAAGTATGCAACCCATTTTATGCTGTCTTAGAAGTACTTATTTTGCTTTAACCGCTTAAAGAATTTTGGTTAAATATGCTAAATCAGTCTATATTGATTTCTACAACATCTTAAAATAGCAGGATATAAATTTGGATGTAGTTACTTCATTGCTCCTATAGGAAGTGTACTTGAATATTTAAAAGAAATACCCATATTTACCAACAGAATACTAATACCAGGATAATCCTTTAAAGTATGCAACATATTTTGTGAAGCTTTTATATTTTCAGTTTTGCTATTTGGGTTTTATATTTACCTTGTTCAAAACTGATGCAAAATTAGACTAATAACCAACAATAACCTTTGATAACCCTTAAAGTACCGGGTATCCTTTAGTCTCTCAAAGGATTTCACTATCCTTTCAGCTGTTGTGAGTGTCACTTGCTGTTGCAAATGACACAAGCAATTTGGTCCGGCAGTTAATGAAAATTGAAAAGTGTTCGTTCGCATTACGCATACGCCGAGGGGTCCACAGAGTCCTGTGTGTCCTGTGAGTCCTGTGAGTCCTATGCTGCTGCACTGCGTCCTGAATTGGATCGATGGGGCATATGCATTGTGAGAGTAGAGTGAGGTGGTTGCATAATCGCTGCTCCACATTGCGCGCTGCACTGATCACACAGACGCGCACCAACACAATGACGCAGCAGGAGCTCCAACAAGCAAACCCATTAGAAGTTGCAACAGTTTTACAGACCCCCTCCAGCATCCCTCGTCTCTCCGTCCATGTCCTGTTTTTGTGTCGAGTCATTTTTGCGCTGAGAAGCACTCACTAAAACAAATAAACACTTTGCGCATTGTTTCGTTTTGACAAATGCGTGTAATTTACGGAAATGTTGTGTTTGTCCATCCACCTTCCCCTATTCCAGCCATCTAGCTATCTAGCTGTCTAGCTACATATTCAGCTACATTCTGGCTACATCCCCGTGCTCCCGGTGGGCCAAATTGTCTTGGGCATGTTTGCAGAGCTCTTGGACTCCTTGGCCAGACTCTACACAACGGCAATTAGTTGGAGCCGGGAAAAAGTGGGTGGAATACCCACCCATCCATGACCAGTCCAACCCCCCCAACCCCTGCCCACACATTTACACTTACTCTAGATTACAAAGGCTGCAGCGGGCTAGAAAAATATAGGTTAAAACTGAATGTTCGCTGCTTTTGCCAACCAGCCAGCCATCCAACCATCCAACCATCCAGCTGCTCATCAAAGTGGCAATAAAATATGCTTTCATATTGCCAGTGCTCGAATGGGCCATCGTGGGCCAATTGAAATGCTTATTACAGGGAGGAGTATCTGGCATCGGGCTGTGGTTAAGCAGATCAGGCATGGAATCACAAAGGATCCGGTTCCTTTTGTCCAGCCAGCGCGCTTTGTTGCGGCCTTAATGAGGAAATTTCCATTGGCCGGGCAAAAGCGAGCTGGCGAACTCGGCCGAGTTGGCAATTTACGATACCTTTGTGGTTTCAATCTAGCAATGGGCAACATAATTAAAAATTGTGACAGCCATAAATTTTGTTTTGGGTTCCTCCTCCGAGACGAGAGATGGCGATAGCAGATAATTAAAGTGGCCGGAAAAGCGGGGAGAAAAGCTGGCAGCTTGTAGGTACACTACTTTCCTTCCACTTTGGGAAGTAGCTTAAAAAGCCAAGTGAAATCAATTAGGTCGCAATTTATGTCACACAGAAAGGGGGGCGGGGGGGGAGGATTGGGTTGGTTTGGTTTACAGATGGCAGCACTTTAAGCCTTTTTAGTCCTGGCCAAGGCAACATTTGATTTCAGTCTAGCTGAGCTGCAGCAGCTGCTCCTGATTGCACTGGGGGATGCCCACATCTCGCAACCCAGGGACGGGGGTCCCCAAAGCAGTACGCCCCCATCTACGCCCCTGTCCATTTGGCAGCTGGCTGCGGGCTTTGACGTCCCCTTTTTGGATGGGACTTGGCCTGTTGTAAAGTGTCAAAACGTGTACTTGTCGCTGGCAGAATGTGCTGCTGCCGCTGCTGCTGCTGCTGCAGCTCCTTTAATTTGAATTTTATGCACTGCATGCATAAATTTATGGCCCCCGGAAACGCCCCCAAAATGGCGACGACAATGACAAAGGCAACATGACAGGCACATGTCCATTATGGCCAGACGCTTTGGCCGCCACTCAGGCGTCCTTCGCATCCTTGCCGCTCCTCCATTTAAATGTGCTGGTTGCCACAGACGTCAAGAAAAGAGCACTCCCTTCCAGACTGGGCCGCTTATCTTGGCCACGTCCTTAATCCTTGGCCCGTCCGCCTGCATAGTGGGCCATATCGCCGCTAACCGTATTTCCATTTCCGTTTCCGGCCTGTGGCTCCGCAATTGCGTGCAAATTAATTACTCATTAAATATGGGCTCTTTGAGCTGTGTGAAAAAATTAATTTTTAATTGCAATCGCTGTGAGTGAATTAATTTGTATCAGCGAATCCTTCGCCATCACCAAATGGCCTTCCGCCGAATTGCATCCTTTGTTGTCGGTGGCGTCGATACATTGATTTTGATATCGTGCTGCACCATATGGCAGCCTTAATATCCTGCCTGTCAGCTATCCGCCCAGCCACCCACTGCCACCACCCATGGAACACCCATTTACCACCCATTCACCACCCACCTGACCTCGCCCCAACTTCTGTCGGGCTGTCAAAGTGCTAAAAATAACATGTCGAAAACGAGGGGGACTTTCGCTGGAAAAACAACGAGGAAAACCTGCCGAAATCAGAAACCGAGAATCGCGCCAAGCGAAGCGAACTGCATCGAACGCGTTCTGCTGCATTATAAATACCGCAATTGCATTGAGTGCAATGATTTTTAACTTGTTTTGACGTTCTGACATCATGAAATCACCTCTGTCTCCCGAAATTCGGAAAAGAGGGAATATTTCGGAGATGTTGCGATTGCCGAAACCAAAAAGTTAATGGGATTGGCTGTCAGCCTGAAAATTAAGGTTTGTTTAGGTTATATGTGGGTGCAAAGGTGTTGTGTGGCCGTCTAGTTTCAAGATTTATTAATACGAATAGCCATTAAATAACACTTTAAGTCAATACGACGATGCACATTTATTTTAAATCTGGCCTCTTGTGGCAAATAATTTATGGATACAAAGCTTCAGCACAAAGCATACATCTTTCCATACACAATTTATGAGCCATATTTCACCTTGGTTTAATTAATAACACTATTTAAGCTTTATAAGATAGAAATTATAAGGAAATATGGTGAATATATGACATAAATATTTTTTCCATCCGGAACAACCTGTTAGTAATCCCCTATTTGCTATTTCGTGTGGTTAAAAAGCAAATTAAGTGCACTGCAAAGCTCATCTAATTATGCAACGCTCGTGACAGATAGCAACCAAACAGGCTGCAACATGATAGCAACAAGGATGGCAAGGACAACTGGGCTTACTAAACTGTGACCTCATGTCACACGTGGTTTTAATTATTGTTGCAGGATGTGTGTGCGAGTGTGCGTGTGTAAGTGCGACCAACCGAGCCTTGCAACTTGTGTGCGACTGTGTGTGTGCTTGGGCCGGGCGTAATTACATTTTGTGGCATTCGGCAGAGTGTTGATTATTAATTAAAATGGCTTTATTCAACGCCTGGCAGCGGACACAAATGCGTTGCCCATCATAGCATCAGTTAAATATTTAAGCATTCCTTTGCCTAAATACTGTCCTCGTAATCACGGCTCCATTATGGGATAACGAGTGTTTAGAAAAATACACCGAAAGAAAGAGAGATTTTGCATTCTTTAGATTTTCTAAGGAATTATAATAGTTTTTGTGTAAAAAATGCTAGGATATTCGCTGTCATATCAATAGAAAATTTTACAAGATTTTTAGTTAATATATATCTACTTATATTGCTAGTAATTCAGTACTGTTATAAATATAATATCGATTGGGGTAAACACATATCTTTTATAAAAAGATAGTATTTAAATATTTTGAGTTACATTAGAAATGAACATATATCGCTAGTCTTTTATAAATACTACAAATACAATATCGATTGGGGTACACAAATTCCTTTTAGTTAAAGAAAATTTTTAAAAATTTTGAGTTAGGGTATAAATCTACTCATATCGCTAATAATTCAGAAATTATATGAAAGTAATATTGATTGGAGTAAACAAATATTTTTTACTAAAAGAAAATGCTTAAATGTTTTGAGTTAAGTTATAAATCTACTCTATTGCTAGTACTTTACAAATATTATGAATACCATATCGATTGGGGTGCAAAAGTCTTTTAGACCTACGATAATTTTTTCGCTCTGCATGTAATGTGTGCATGTGGCACAAACTGAAATCAAAATGGTTTGCAAATAGCTGCAGACAAAGTTGCAACGGAATGCAACGAGTTGCGAGTGTTAATGGCCTGTAATTAAACTGCAACGTGAGACGTTTAAGTGGAAATTGCATTTTGGCTAATGCACTTTCTCCCCCTTCTCAAAACCCCTTCTCACTCCCCTTCTCCACCTTCCATGTGTTTTGCAGAAGGATCTGTTCGTGAGCAAAGTTGAGCCGACGTCGCCGCGAAACGAACGCAAATTCTCCGCTGCCACAGCGCCATCGATGAAAACAAAGTGGCTGAAAGCATTTAAGAGCCTAAAGCCTGCTGGTTCTGGTTCAGCACAACAAGCAGATAGGTGAGTAAGGCACTATATTTACCATCCACATCCCCCTTGCTTTTTTTTGTTGCCCACACCACCCATATTCCCGCCGTTACACAACATTATCGGGCATAGAGAGCAGGGCCCATTAAGTCGAATACAAACCGCAGCAGAGTGTCTAGAACTATGGAAAGGGTGGAGCAGATGGAGAAACCCATCCAGATACAAAATGAAATAGTGCTGCAAATACCAGTGGAGGGCGGACAAAATCGGGAGCGGGGCCGCCCGCACATTAATATGACTAAAAGCTTGTGGAAAACGCGAAAAATTATTCAGGCATTCGGGCAACCAAGCATCCAAGCATCCAAGGGTAGAACACCCTCCAACCTCCAACCTCCACCCTCCATTCCCATCCGCAATAAAATAAACTAGAATGCTCTGAAGGAATCCGTAATATTTGCACAATCCGGATTATGCAATGCAATGCAGCAATTGCACTCGCAATTTACAAGATAATTCCGTTCAGGTGCATCAGCCAGGCAATCCACCATAGTTTAAGCTAAGCTAAGTTATACTTGCCATAATAATAATCTCTCCACTTCTTCTCTATACAAATTTACGTATATATTACCATCTCCATTCGAACACTAAATGCATTCAAATATGCTTTGCCCAACCAAAAAAATCAAACAATGTCTCGATATATAATCGATATATAATCGCGAACTATCAGCCAACCACCCCGACAAAATCAAATGTACCACGCTGTATCAACCGTATTGACTTTGAGGTAACCGAAATTCACCAAGAACCACAACAAAACCCAATCACCCAGCATCTAAATATAGTCTAATTTAGTCCCAACCCACATAACCGTGTACAGACGTACTATATAGCATATACCATATAATCGATACGAAAGGTTGCTGTAATGTTGCACGCAAATGTAGAATTAGCTGAGAAAATAAACCCCGCTTGGATCCCCGAATACCGAATACCGAACAACCGGCTAATTGGTTTCAAATAACGCATCAACTGCAGCACACAACACTGTTTTATTTGCCTATGTTTGTGAATCGATTTAAATTTCAATTTAACACGTACTCAGAGCACATTTAATTTGTCTTCGGGCGCCGTAAATGCAGTAAATGCCACCTGCGCCCAATCGAGTGTCATCAATCAATGGTGTGGATGCAATTAAGGCATTGGTAAAAATATAGTAAAATGGCAAAATCCATGGCTAGTGCAACTGGCCCAAAGACAATGCATTTTCTGGAACTGGTCCAAGTGCAGTAACAAAGTTTTCCCCATTCGATAACTACGGATAAATGTGTCGCTATATGTCCGTCCGTCTGGCTTCGTTTTTTTTTTTTTTGTGTTCCATATGTTCCGGACAAGTTTCCGGCTGCTCCCCCAGTAAATTCCACTCGGCGCCATTCGAGCATTGAAAAATATGCGAAAAATTGAAAAACTATAAATTCTGCAGCCTTTTCCACCCACATGGACTAGGGGAACTGCGAACTGCAAACGTTGCAGTTGCAGCATCCAGTGGCAACAATACTTAATTCCGTGCCGGCAGCCTGCCCTGCCAATGATGATAAATCGGAAAATGGGAAAATCTTCTCGGCTTAGTGAATGCCCATTGGCCATTGGGTGTGGAAACGAAAGTGGAAGGGGGTGCTTAAGTGGGCTCTATCTCTTCAAACTTCATTTCGAAATATTCGCCACTCTTGAGGCACAAATGCACACGGCATAAATACCACTCGTATATATATTTGGAAACGTGACAAGAAAATCGCAGCTAAAAGTTCGCCTGTGTTATATTGCAAAAGTTTTGAACTAGAATTACGGAAAGCCCGAAACTAAACCACAGTCGTTGCTCCCTCCAAAAAAAAGCTAGGCAGTTACTCATTACGCTCTGCTTTTTATGGTTTATATTTCTGTTTTTATTTTTCCTATTTTCGTGCATATAGTCCCAGACCAATGAAAGTTTTAAGTTGCATACAAACCAACTAATGAATATGTTATGGAAATTATTATAATTAAACCATTACTCATGCTGCCCATACAAACGCAAAGTATTTCCGTTTTGTTTTTAGCATTTTGCCATAGCTGCACCCCAAAATCAACCACACACGAAACTTGTCCAAATAACCAGTGTACCTATTATTAATTAAACCGAGTCCCGCTAAACACCCAACTTGATAATCCCTTTAAGTATACCAATTAATCGTAATTACCCCAGTATAAACCAGCTGAATGCTGTGCATACCAATTGTACACACCTGTAAATTGTACATGGCCTAGATAATTGACACCTCGGGTATTATTTGTTAGCTAAGTCTATCAGTTAGTTTGATCAATATTTAGTTTAAGAATTTACAAATATATATTTTTTATCTATAAAATGTCATCGTGTCAGTGTTCATTTGTAGCTGCCAATCACAATGTTGCACTTTCTCCTGGGGCCTCCACGCCCTTCTGCGAATATAAAGTGGGCCAGAAATCTGGGAATTTTTGTATACTCTACGCATTTGCAACAAACAACTTTATAAATATTGTGCCAATGTGCTCAACTGAATTTATTTGTTCATCTGTGTGCATAAGCCACTTACAAACAATCAAGGCCTCTGAGCCCGGTTCTGCCTCAACAATTGCCCCATTGTGAGGCAAGTAGAGTCGAGTCTGGTCGAGTCCTTCTGCCTTTGCCACCTCGCTTCAACATTCACTGCTTTTTGGGGTTCTTTTTTGCTGGCAAATAAAACAAAAACAAAAGTGCCACGGGGGCAGGAAGCGATGAGGAAGCCCTTGCAAATTGGCTGTATCTCTCTGTATAAATATGAAACGAAATTGCTGAAATGATTTCGATGCGCACACAATATAAATAACACAATAATTTGCATAAGCACTGTGGATTGAGAGATCTGGCCAAAGCACGAGATCACGAGATTGTAAATTACTGGGGGCAGTGATTAATCGACCAATTTCCTGTAAATCCAATTAGTTTGAGTACGCACACTGTGTGTTTATTTTAAATACAATTCTTTTTAATGCGTTTCTTGTCCAAACATGTACGCACCATCGCCCTGATTAATGTGCATTGTCCTGCGTCCTGTGTCCAGTGTCCGGTGTCCTTTTTGTCCATTGTCCACACGCCATTGTTCATTCGCCATTGTTTGCCGTTGTCACTGTGCACATAGCGTATAGATATACAAAAACATAAAGTAGCATAAGAGCAGCCTTCAAATGCAATGTATGTTCGCAGATTTATGAACATATGTTTAGCCATTTGGGCCGCTTTCGGCCAATTGGCGTTTCGGGTTTTTGGGGGCCTGAGGGAAAAGTGCAACATTTTCTCCAAATCCACTCCATTTAGCGGTCCACCCACTAACACCGCCCCTTCGTCTCCCTCACAGGCGCAATGGAGCCTCCAGCACAGCCTCCGAACCGCTGCGTCCCAACCTGGATGGCAGCCACCACCTGCAGGAGTACACCTACAAGAAGATAACGGCCTGCGACGTCTGCTCCCAGATCCTGAGAGGTGGGTGTGCCCCAAGTCCTTGGGATATCTAGCTTTCTGGCTAAAAAGGGGTCTGCTATCTTTGCCAAGCAGATGTTAAGGGGTGCAAAAAGAGAGGAGGACCTTTTGAGTACAAAGTAAAACCCACATTCAAAGTTAGTCAACATAAACTGGGGACTTAAATTCAAAATTGGTATGAATTTGGTTTTTCATTTGTGTTTACATCATAGTGTTTATTTTAAAACTGAAGCAAATTTTAATATCTATATGCCTTCATAAACTTTTTAAACAATTAAAAACTATTAGTATTGGTATTACATTTTGTTCGACTGTAGAAAAAAGTCATGTACTCGTATAGTTGCAGGGCTTTTAACTAAAGCTGAATAAAATTGTTTACCAAAATTAATTAAATATAGATTGTAAGGGGTTAATAAATTGAAACTAGCACACTAATTTCTTTATTGTTTTAGTTTTTTTTAAATTTAAACTTAACAAACACTAAAAAATGTCAATTTCGTTATGGAGCATGTTACATTTGTAACATCGTTACAAGATTGAATCTGTTTAAATCAGGAAAGCTTAACAAGCTATAAATATAATAAATAAATGGAGCTTGTAATGGGCGCTTTGGGAACTATAAAATTCGTGGTAGTAAGGGATTTTTATTTAAATTCATTTCGACAATATTTTATTTAACCTGTTAGAATCAAGGGTCTCCCAAAACCAAGCCTAAGTATAGCCGTCACTACGATTTTAATGGGTACTCTGGGTAGTGTGCAGTGGGTGCCCCCGTCTGTGGCACTTCTAATCCTTATAAGCAACATTCTCAACCCCTCCGCTTGCAGGCCACACACGCCAGGGATTGCGGTGCCGCATCTGCAAGCTGAACGCCCATGGAGACTGCGCCCCCAATCTGCCGCGCTGCCAGCCGAAGCAGAAGCTGCTGCGCCGCCAGAAGAGCACCTCGGAGCTGGAGAATCGCGTTGATATCGAGGAAGAAAGTGAGTATCTGGCACGCACCTGCATCACAGAGCCATGGCCCCAGAAAACAGAAACAGAAACAGAAACAGAACCAGAAACATACAGCTTAAAACAGAAACAGGCTAAACACATTCGCATACTAACCGCTTGAGGCTGGCTAACGAGTTGCATGGGAAATGCGATGTGCTGGCAGGCGAAATTCCCCAACAATTTGTTCGACTGGCCGTGCCCGAACCGTGTTTGCAACGAGGCATTAGCATGTCCTGCTGCAGGACCCACCTTGAAAAGCCTCTGCTGGAGCCTCTGCTCCACATTCCACTTTCAACTTTCCACTTTCCACTTACCTATCCACTTGCCACATTTTGTTTGCCGCTCGGCAAACATTTATTGATTTGGCCAAAAGAGAATGCCAAGTGGGAGTGGCTGGTACTGTTTGGTATCAGTTGATTTCACAATGGATTTATGGCACTCGTGGGGCATACAGATTGTGGCACTTGTGATTTGTGTCGCAATTCTCCAGACCTCAGCGAGCAAGAACCTTAGCAATTTCCCTGGCTCCCTCGGTTATCCACACAAGCACCACCACCACACAACCACACACACGCATTGTGAAATATCCTTGGAGTTCCGCAGAAGATGACTACGATGGTATCCTGCTCAGTGAACTGTAAACAATTGTCAGGAGGAAAATAGAATCTGTTGCATACCTTGCGGGTGTGCGACTGTGCCATTTATGCTGCTCATCTATCTATCAACCACACACAAATTCCAAATTGCCGACTCTCGACATTTATTTGATTAAATCAATATGCAAACCTCTTACCTTCCCCCCCCCCCAAAAAAAAAAAACAAAAACCACACTGAAACGATACATAGCCTCGCCACAGGAGTCGTTTGTTGCAGCTGCAGCAGATCAGGCGGACGATCCCAATCTGAATTCCAATCTGAATCCGAATGCGAATGCGAATCCGAATCCGAGCGCAAATCAGTTGAATGTGCCAAATGCGAAGTTCCGTCAAAAGACGCCCTTCATGCATCGCATTGCGCAACTAGGTATTTCCCGATTTAGTATGTGCCACAAAACGTACATCCAACATCTATTTCAATATATTATAAATACTCGTATAGTATGCGCCAGATACTCGATTGAAATGCGCTTGACCTTTTGATTTTATTTTCGTACTTTGTGTTTGACTGTTGCGCTTTGACCCACTTAATTAGCGAGATATTCAGCGAATGACAACCAGCTCAAAGTAAATCCAAAAAACACACTCAAGACACTCTACACCCTCTCACTTCACACAAATATCTTAAGACCACAAAGGACACAAGGTTGCCTTTCTTGGCCAATCAAGGACCCTGAGAAAGCGCTGGGGGTCCACTCAACGAAAGTTCAGTTCAAGTAGTGGAGCATGTTATAGCCGCAATACTCAGTACTCAGTAATCAGTTATCAGTATTCCGCATTCAGTAAATATCGAAACAGCTCACTAGAAATTGCCTCACGTCTCATACCGCATAAGTGTTGTTGGCTACTGTTTTGGATCGGTTTTTGGGTACCACATCTTAGACATCTGGCTCATCGCGACGATTTGGCCGCCAGCGGGCCTAGAGTAAAGTAACATCGAGCTTAGCTGATCGTTATTATATATATATATATATGTACCCACCACCTTTCTCTCACACACTCTACCTATATATTTAATTCAAAGTCATGACAAGTGCCCAAAAAATAAAACAAAGAGAACCCACTCCCCGCATCAATCTCTCATCCCCAATTATCGAATCGCCCCGAAAACCACTTGCAATTTGTACTAATGCACTTCAACAATGCATCAACAACATCATCATCCCAATCCGACAATTGAAAATGATATCGAATCGAATCCGAATATATGAAAATTTGCAAAAATGGCCCTCCATCAACCGTACCAACTTGTCAATGTCAACTCTCCTACTTCGGCACCAAAAAAAAAACAAAAAAAAAATAAAGAAATAACCGAAATCGATCAAATTTACCGCGTGCTGAAACAAGCCGGCGAACTCAAATCCGGGCATCTTGCAGCAGGCGCCGACAAATCCGTCCAGGGCAAGCCAATGGATGGCGTCGCGGGAGGATCGGCACTTCCGGTTCCGGTTCTGACCGAGCGGGAAATGGGCAGGGCCCCGCCACCGGACATACCGATTGTCAGTGTCTCGGAGTTGGTCCTGCAGGAGCAGCAGCAGCAGCAGCAGCAACACCAGCAGCAGCAACATCAGCAGCAACAGCAGCAGCAGCAACAGCAGCAACTACAGCTACAGCAGCAACACCAGCAGCAGCAACGCAGTCTGGCATCGGTGGCGCAGGCGGCGGCGGTACGGGCGGGACGAGGGGTCCGTCCGCCGCCCGTGGCCATGCCCATTCTGGGCGTACAGCTGCAGCAACAGGAGCTGCAGCAGCAGCGCGGCGGCCTGCCGGTGCCCAGCCAAGATATATCTAGTAGCTCAGGTCCGAAAAAGTCGCCAAAATGCAGTCCAAGTAGTTTGTGTTACTCTCTACCTTCTGTCTCTCTCTCTATCTCTGCATTTTTTCGCTCATTTAACATTTTCGCAATTATTTTTGAAGAATCCTTGGTTGTAGTTTTGGTTTTTCGGTTTTTCGGTTACCCACCACTCCCAGGATCCCGTCTCAGTGCCTCAGCTTAACCATCAAACATAAAAGTAATGTCCAAAAAAACCAAAAGTCACCAGCCATTCGTTGCCATAACGTTGCTCATCCTTGTAGTTTTCGGGCGTCCTGTCTTCTCACATTTTCTGCACCCGACTCGTAGAGCAGACAGAAGTAGTTCATCTCTATCCACATATATAGCCGCATTAGTCACACACAATTGCATTCCCTTTGCGAACATATTTAGATTTGGCAAAACAATTTCAATTTCACTCACATTGCGCTAACCAAATAATTGCTCATACGCCCCATTGCTTCGCTTTGGAGTTGCTGGATTTTTTGGCCGTTTTTGGCTTTATAGAACACATTACACACAGAAACACACACACACTCAGAACTAATAACTCACAAACTATAAATATGCATTTTGTGTATACTCGTAAATAATTTATTCTAGAGTTGAATTTGGATTTGAAACGCTATTATTGACTGAAGCAACTGCCGAAATATAGTATTTTGTAGCTTAGCCAACATCAATTATAGCTTACGCAAACACATGTAGCATCTACGTATCATATTTAGTTGAACGTAATTAATTTGTGTATGCCAAACACTTTGTTTTCCTTTAAACATCCTGATTTCCCAAGCCGTCTCTGTTCAAACAAGGAATGGAGTGGCCTCGCAATCACAATGAACAGCAGGGAGTGAATGGGGGCGTGTGTTTGTCTACGCGAATGAGGCTCAATTAAAATACATGGTCTACTCGGTTCGTGTCGCCTCCCCGAGAGCAATCACTTGGCAACATGACATTGCCTTTTTGTCGCCCTCTTAGGGACCCCGCCCCTTTTGGCCGCAAAGTGCCCTAAATCTTGGCAAGTGCGCACATAATTAGCGCCACAACTCTTGCTGACTGAACACTGGCAACCAGCAACTGGCAACTGGCAACCAGCAACCAGCAACATGCAACTGGCAACTTGCAACCTGGCCAAGTACAACTGCAACATTCCCTGCGGTCTGCAGTTGCATTATTCCAATTAGAATGGTGTAAATGCAGCACTGCACTGATTGATTGAGGATTGCCTTTTGCGGTTGCCAGTGCGCCTGCAGCAACCACATCCATCTTGGCCTGACCCTGTTTACATAGCCTTAAGTACAGTTCCATGTTCCATTCGAAAGTCCCAACAACACAGAACTCACATCTTAGATAAGCAAACTGACTTAACTACGCCTTAAATGAAAACACATATATATCTATATATTCTTTCGTGTCCATATCTTTTTTGCCAATTTTCGTTTCGCTTGCCAAACTCAAATTAACCAACCAATAACCCAACCAACCAACCAACCAACCACATCAAACCAAAAATAAAAAAACACACCAAGAACCACCGGGGCGATATGGCCAGTTCTTTGCCCCCGTATCGAATATGTCCAGCTCGGCGTACATCAGCAATGGTTTTGGCATCAACTACTATACGGGGAACAGCCAGCAGACGGGGTACATGCAACAGGTTCCTGGCCCCGGTCCCAGTACGTCCTCCACCTCGGCAGGAGCTTCGCCAGCCCACCAGGCGTTGCCGCAGCAATCCGGGAGCAGCACCAGCGGAAGCAGTGGAATCAACTATCCGACCACCGATCCGGGACTCCGGAGGCGACTGTTCGCCGGAATCCGACCATTGTCCGTCTTCGGGCGGCTGAGACAGCGATCCTCGCAGCACCGATCCATCTCGTTGCCAGAAAGTAATTACGTGACTTTGAAGCAACCAAAACAACCAGAAAACCACAACAGCCACTTAGGAGTCAACCGAGGGGACAGCAACTACAGTCACTACCACAGACCGATCCCAATGCAGAAATCGTTCCATCTCCCAGCCAGCACTTGCAGCACCACCACATCATCATCATCCTATCTCGGGGATGCCTATAATATTATGGGCCGCCCCATCATAGCCATGCGTTCTCGTTGGAACAGTACTGCATTTGATTCCCACTACTCGACATCGATGTTTAGATTGTGTTTCCGTGTTCTGTGTATCTTTTTGAATTTCAATTTGAATTTGAATTTATTTCCCGTGTAGCGTGGGCCACAGAGATTGTATCTGTCTGTCGTATGTTTGTGTGTCTGTTGCGTGTTTGTTGCCCACTGCCAAAAGATATGGAGATGTAGGAGGATGTATGGCAAGATGCGTTTTAATTATTTCAATTTTGAGTCTGCGAATCGCAAGTGGCTCAGCCGGGCTCAGCATGGCCACAGAGGCCCTAGAACAATGGTCGGATTAAATGCCAATTAGTCTTAACCCAGTTTACACTTCAGGCAAATGGCTCATTTCCGTTGCAACAGCAGCAGCAGCAGCGGCGAAAGCAACTGCAACGCCATCATTTGTATACATGGCCGAGTTCCTTTCTCGCTGAAAGCAGCTTCATCATTCTTCAGCTTGGCTGGAGTCGAAAGGAAACTTGCTCCGAGGAGTGGGTCTCCATCCTCCTACTACACTTGAAAAGTTACCAATTTGGGGAAATAAATTTCGATTTTTCTCTCAAATTTAAGGTGGTGGTAATGGCAATCGTAACTCTTTTAAGAATCAGCGAAGTATTTTAAAAGGGAAATAAAATATTTGATTTACACAGGCATATTACTAAAGTTTTAACGTTTAGAGCATAACATTCCTTATAAAATATGCAAAAATCATTTATCATTCTCAGTGTAATAAAGTCGAATATACTTTACAATGGGCAAACTTAATTACTTCTTGAGAAACACTAAGTAAAAGTTATACCTTTTTTTTCAGTACAGCGAAAGCTGATTTGATCTTTAATAGCCAGTTGAGGATTTTGGCTTTTGCTTAGCAAGTTTCGCCACTTCAAATCCCCTTTTAATGGAAGCTAAAGACCAAGGCTTTCGAATGCCAGACCCTTTTCTTCCAGATTTTGTTTTCTCTGTATATCCTTGCTTCGAGGACCTCCCATCCCGCCACTGTTTATGCCGCAGCTTCAGGACTACTGTTGCTGTTGGTGCTGCCGTGTAAATTACAAGCCATTGTCAACTTTTGTGCAAAAAATTCAGCCGCACAACTTGCCAGTGGGGTTGGGTGGCAAAAGACTGGCTGCTTTCCGCTGGATGCTGCATACAAATGTTGCAGACGGGCCAAAACTTTTTCGCCAAGGCGCGAGTTCATTTGTGCTTAATGTTTGCTGCATTTTTAATGCCACTCGCACAGAGGCGACGCAAGTTTAAAGCCCCGCTGCCAACTTTTTGTCTTAGGCCAAGCTAACTTCTTGTCGACGGGAGGGAGGGTAAGGGGTTCAGATGGGGGAGATGGGGGGTTCAGAGGGTTCAGAGGGTTTGCTGGGGGCCGAGGTCGGTCCCAGGCCGAACATAATTATGCTAAAAATTGTTATGACACACAATCTTTTTGCGCTCCTTATTTTTCTTTCCGTTTTGGGTCTGCCTTTTCCACCACCCAACCCAACCTCCCAACCTTCCAGCCCCCTTTTTCCCGCATGCCGCCAGTCTCGACTTCCTTGTGGCAGAAGTTCCTTCCTAGCGAAGGCTCTGCACTTATTTTCCCAGGATTATGATTCTGCTCTATTACTCGGGCCAGGCTCCTCGTCCTGGCCATGGTCGTCCTCCTCGTTCCGGCCCTCTCCTCTGGGCTTCCGCCGGCTTGTTTTGGTTTGCTTTATGCATGAACGCTGTCTTAATGTTTAATATTTTCTTTCGGGCTTCTTGTCTTCATTTAACTTAATTAGTTTTAATTCACATTTCTCTGCGATTCACTCGGAGAGAGCGAAAGTTGCCCTCCTTCCCCGGAGCAGTTAATCGATCGAAAAGCTACTAACCCCACTGAAAGAAAGAAATACTGGCCCCCCCAAAACTACAAGCCTTGTGTATGGTATATACTTGATACAGCCTCAGCGACTCCGAAGTCCGAAACAACGCGACCCTTTGGCGAACCCCTGATGCTCCTCAAGAACCCGGAATCCAATCCGGATGAGTCCAAGGGCAATCGACGAGTACGTTAAGCACACGGATCTAGAAGGATAACGATGAGAACGGGCGGAGGAACATTTAACCGTTTAATTTACTACAGTTCTAAAGCGATTTATGGTTTAAGTTCTTGATTTTATTACACCCTAGACACCTAGCCCAATTGATGTTCTAAATGCAGCACAGTAATTATTATAAAATACTCCACATAGTTAAATTTACCCCCTACTTCTATATATCTACCGTATGTATATCTTAGTTAATTTCGATTCTGCGAATGTGCGTGAGCCAGAGAGCAATGTTAAATGTATATTACGATTAAAGTATTAAGTCACTTCTGATTACACCACGATTATATTCTAAATGTTGTATGATTGTTGTAAATATCGCACAAAAACCCACACATCAACCACAAACGAATGACTATAATAACACACGAATAAAATGCAAAACGATATCTGGCCTTCCTTCACTTTCCTCCAGAGGATAACAACACGATCACCTTCATCTGGCACAGGGCGATGGAAACGAGTTTTCTATGATTTTCTATATATATTTTGTATAGTCAAAATCCAAATTGGAAAACACCGATACACGCAGTATTCTTACGTTGGCTTTTGATTTTTGCGGCAACTGAAACGGGATGATTAGAACTAATACACTGAACAAAACACTCGCTGTCTCTTCCTGAACGTGTCGAATGTTGCTCTGTTGCAAGCAAAAAACAAAAAAATAAGAAAAACAAAATTCTTTAATTGCATTGATTAAGCTATTATCTTTCTATCGATGTCCTTGCCAAAGGCCACTAAATGTTCAACGTCTTTTCAGTTCATATTTTCTAGTTCTTTTGGGTTTTTGTTTAGATTTTGTAGACGCCTAGATTACAATTTGGACTTACCAAATGCTTAACAAACGAAATTAAAATCAACAAATTTTTATTCCACATTTTACTGCCATTTTTTTGCCAACTGTGTTTTGTCTGACACACGACAACAACAACAAATAATATAACCATGTACCAATCCAAAAATTGAAAAATAAACAAAAATAACAGCACCGCACTCACCGCGCCGCCAAAAGTTGAACTTACGCATGAAATCCCTGAGCCTGGACTCGCCCGAATCCTCGGAGCTGCACGGCCAGTTCCGTCGAAGGGCCCAAATGCCCGGCACGGGGGCCTCCACGTCGGCCGGCTCCGGGCACTATCATGGTGGGTCCGGAGGCCACCTGGAGCACAGCACTCCTCCGTCGAACAACAGCCGCCTGCACTGTAAGTAGCAACCCAGTAAACGGATCCGTTTCCGGTTCCGCCGATCCCCGGTCCCCAAAAACCGTTACCGTTTACGAACCCGATTCCAATTTCGGACACCGACGTACGCTGCACCACTAACCACTGTACCAGTCCAACTAGCCCACCACCACCACCCCTTCTATCCACAGCGGGCACCTCTAACTAATCTCAGCTCCATAAGATCTAATTTCCTAAGCTATTTAGTATGTATTGAACACCTACATATACACGCCATCTTAACTTTTCTTAAGTGCTTACTACTATACTATACTATTACTATGTAAATACGTTGCCAAAGTAAAAGTCGAGTAAAGTAAAGTTTTGTTGAGTAGTTCGAATTCGTTTACATCTTATCTAAGTAGTTAATAGCAGCTTTGAGATACATGCCAGCTGTAGACTTACTAACTTCATCTGCCAACACACATCTTCAACCTCAAATCGAATCGATCTACCCCCCTTTGAACCGTATATGTGTATATTTTATCTGTACAATGTCTATATCTTCTTTTTCCATGGATATTCTTCTTATTTTTCGTTCATCCACTTGCATTCGATTAACCAAACCGTAACCATTGAGCCTGTCCTGGAGCAGGGACTAACGCATCCAAAACCATTACAGCCCCATCGAGCCCCTCGCATCCGGGCCGCAAGCTGCTCTACGCCACCCGTGGAATGCGTGGTGGCAGCGTCGATCTGCCGGATGAGATGGAGAAGTCGCAGTCCTCGGCCAGCACATCGCCGTGCCTCTCACCCGTAAGACATCCCCAGGTAGACCCTTCTCCACTCCTCCTACTCCTACTTTGCTAATGAGTTCATATTGCCTGCTCCGTTCAATTGATTGAGACCTTAACCCCACACTAATCCATTCCCAAACACTCGTAACATTTTCATTTTCAAGAAAACACATCGTCTGCTGCCCACGAATCTGTATGTCATCATCTACAACTTCAAGGCGCGACATGCCGACGAACTGGATCTCAAGGCTGGTTACAAGGTGAGCTAATTCCACTGTCCCTATCTACTCCATAAATATCCCCACCAAATCCCAGTCCCATTCCCATTCCACGCGTAAATAAATGAGAGTATGAATAATAAACAATGCGCTTTGTTTAATCCGCTAAGCGGTGCGCTTAGTTCGCACAATGGAAATGCCAGGGAAATTGGTTAACTAAATCAGAAACATATACTCACTCGCATTCACATGTTTGTTCTGCGCTCTTTATTCAATATTAAAAACGAACAATGCCAACAAAAACTTGTTTATTTATCATACAACCGAGCATATGGAGGAAGCTCTTTTTCCACTGCGTAAACAGGGCGAAACAAACAGTGAATAAGAAGAAATAATAATAGTTACCGACTTTTTGTGTACATTCTCTGATTGCGAGTGCCTGCCCGCCGCCGGCAAAGTGTTCAATATTTACAGATTAGCTTTTGTTTGGACTGCGTCCTTGTTCGCGAAATGGCTTCCTTCCACTGCCATGGGTGCGGGATATAGTCAAACTTTTACTGCTTTATGGCAGGCTTCTGGGAATTTACTACCCAGATCGATAAGAGCTCTTCTCAGCCGCGTTTCTACTTAAACACCGAACGAAAGGAATATAATATTGTATCTTTATGGGTTTGCGAATATCATGTGCTAGAAATTTTACCAAACTTTTTTTTAGTACTTTTTAGGAAGGGGAGACTTGCTTTCAGAAAACTAATAGTATATTTTATTTCTTTGCAAACTAGCCTCTCATTCAACTATTATATTGGTTCTGAAACAATTTTATGTAATTACTTAATGGAGTAAAGTGATTGTCTGTTTATTTCTGTCTTAACTAGGCTAAAATTGTCGCCAACCCACTATAATGATCCAATAATAATAACAAGCTTTGAAAAAAAGAAATGCTGAAGAATTCGCGCTTTTATTAATTGACGTGACACGTAATGGTACACTTTTAAAAACTTTCTCAGGTGACTGTCATTGACAATTCGGATCCGGACTGGTGGAAGGGAAAAGTGCTGGGACGCGTTGGCTACTTCCCATCCAAGTACTGTGTGCGCTTGAATGCCAACGAGAAGCCCCTGCAGGTGACCCACAATCTCCAGGTATCGGACAGTGAACGTGGCGAAAACCTCACCCTGCTGAGGGACCAGATTGTCATACAGGTGAGAGTCAAAGCCCCCAATTCCCCTTCCTCCAATATCACCTTGTTGCAACCTCTTACGTTTCCCAAACAAGACCGGCGACGAGGTCAACGGCATGGTGATGATCCGCGCCGCCGAGCACGGGCAGGGCTACTGCCCGATCAAGTATCTGCAGGAGGTGTGACAGCCAGAAGAGGACGAGCCGCCCTCCGACGAGCGGGACAGACCCCACAAGTCGTCCATGCAGACGTCGTCGTCGCGGACAACGGACAAGACCAAGCGTAGGATTAGAATCGTAGTGTCCGAGAACCACAGCCTAGCTGCTAGTAGTGTTGCAACCGCACCACCCGCTTTCTCCTCCGCTCCATCCGCCCCATCCGCCTACACATCATCCATTCATCACACCCATCACCACCAAATCCCGAGGGAGTCCGACGTCGAGACGAAGCGGCTGAATATCGACTACGGCGACGAGGGCAGCGCCGACTGGGACAAGGATCGCGAGGTGCTCATCCTGTCCGGCAGGCGGAACAAGAACGACAAGAACTGGGAGAACTGGGAGCGCATCCGGGAGCAGAAGCTGGAGAAGATGAAGGGCATCTGCTTCGAGAGCTACCGCCAGTCGAAGCGGGACAAGCTGCTGCAGGCGAAGCCGCGTCCCAAGCAGCTGGATCCCACCTGGTACACGGACAACATCTACTCGAACCGCTCCGACGACATGGACGAGGATTACGTGCCGGATTGCATCAAATACGGACCCTTCCGCACGCTACGGGACATCCACGAGCTGGACGAGAAGAGTGGTGGCACGGAGGAGCGTCGAGTGGACGGAGAGGGATCACCCGGCTATGGGCTGCACCGCTCCAAGAGCTGCAAGGAGTTCCAGTACCCCAAGTCGCAGAGTTGGTGCTTCGAGGGCAACGTCTTTGAGGCGGGTGGCGGTGTGGCCAGTGGGAGTGGCAGTTCCGGCGGTGGGGCAACAGCTCCAGCAGCCACCACATCCATCCTGAAGAACCGGGCGGGTGTGCCCAAGTCGTACTCCTTCAGTGCCACCACCAAGACCATGCCCTTTGATATCATCGACTATGAGCTGCCGCCGGCCTCGAATACGCGGCGGGAGAAGAGGGAGGCCCTGAGAAGGAACATGAACGCCCTGTGCAGCAGCAGTCTGGACCGCTGTTGCGCCCGGGATCAGTGCACCAGTGCCCGCTGCCTGCTGGAGGACATCTATCCGGGATCGGGAAGGGTGCGACCAGCCCGGTCGGGCAGCAATCGGAACCTGAGTGCGGCGGACTGGCTCTTCGAGGAGCGCCGAAGGACGCCGGCTGCTCCAACGGTCATTTGCTGCTGCTCGGCGGCTGAGGAGTGCTGTTGCCAACGCCAGCGTCAGCAGCTGCAGCAGCCGCCCCTTCCCGCTCGCCCCAGGTCACGAGCCCTCTGTCCCGGCCATCATCCCGCCGCCGAGGAGGAGGAGCACATGCACTGCCGCTACGACACCGACCTGGAGCACTTCATACGCGCCGAGCGGGAGCGCCTGATGCTGCAGGACAAGTTCCTGGACGAGGATGAGCGCTATCTCTCTGCCGCCCCACCTCCACGAAGTCCTGGCCGGCGGTATCCAGCGGGAAACTCCAGCTATCACAGACCACCGCGCAGCAAGTCGCTGCTGGAGATGCAGCCACCTACCAGCCTGTTCGATGAGGACACCTGCTCGGACACCACCGAGATCGATCTGGAGGACTTCAACATCGACCTGGAGAAGTACTGGGAGCAGCTGGACAAGCCACCCAGTCCCATCAACATGGACATGCGCCGCAATATGCACAGCAGTCTCAAGGTGAAGAACGTGAATGTGCGCTGCTATAACAATGGACAGCCCATCGATCTCCACGACCGGGAGCATGAGCGGCTGATGATCAAGAAGTCGCTGCTCGAGGGGATGCCCTCGCCGCCCCAGCTGGACTCCAGCGAGTCCTCGACCAATGCGGGTGGCTATCCTTTTTTTGACCCAGCTCCCGCTGCAGTGGCGCCCACTCCCGCCTTCCATCACCGCTCGGTGTACGGACAACCCACGCAGGGCTATGGCCACAAGGTCTACCCCACGGTGGACACCCTGCCCTCGTACCAGTACAACAACTTCTATCCGGAGCAGAGTCACCACCCAACAGTGGGCAGTGTGCTGACCCAGCAGCCGACGGCCGGAATCCACCATCCCTCCGCCGGTGGTCACTCGGCGCTCAGCCTGATCAACAACATCTTCTCGATCTACAAGCCCAACAAGTACTCGCCGGAGAACTGCCAGATGAACTATGAGAGCAAGCCGGAGCCGTGCAAGAAGATGAATGTGCCCAGCACCCACAGGCCCCTGGGAGCAGCCACCGTGCATCCGTATCCGCCACATGACTACATGCACTCCTCGATGAAGCGACCCCTGCTGGTGAGTGCCGATCAGCCGCACTTTAAGATCATCCCGGAGAAGACGGGCCTGAAGATCTCGCCGCTGATGAGCTACGAGGACTACGGCGGAGGTGGAGTGGGTGGCTGTGGAGCAGGCGGAGGAGAGAAGGCCCACCACCACAGACTGAGTAGCACGGCCAGGCCTCTGATGCTTCCGCACTGATGGTGCTGGACCTTTCCGTGGTATGGCAATGGCAATGGCAACTATTGTTAGTTGGGCTCCCACCCATCCAACTATCCCAAAAGACTCGCGAGCAGCGAAAAGCAACCCAAGCGCACAAAATCTGGGTCCAGCCAATACGAAAACGAAAACAGGAAACCATCGGAGGATCATCGGAAAAGGATCAGCATTCTTGATCCTGCCGAAACCACTCCACTCCTCCACTCCAACTCAACTCGCCGTCTTCGTCGTCGTCGTCGTCGTCCATCCGCACAATTTGCTTTTGGTTTAGCCGGGCAGGTGTTCCATGTTCCAGTTCCATCGAAGCATCCTCGACACTCCAGCGACCAGCAGGAAACCACTTGAACAACAGCAACTACAGCCATACCATTGGAAAACAGCACTACAGACAAAGACAACATCAAACTATCGGAACGCGGAAGCTTAAGTGCAAGTAGTAGGATTAGTAATGTAACGATTTGATCAGCGGATCGATTAGGATCTCCCCAAGAACACAAGACACAGTCACACACATATGTATACAATCAATGTGCTTTTAATTCGCTTAAAATCGCTAGAGAAATCGCATTGCAGTTCGATTAACAACTAAAACAACAGATTCACTAATTTTCGAGCAACTTTTAAGCAATCAAGAGCGTATTCAATAGAACAAAGAGTAGACCTAAGAATCGGAAGAATTAAGTATTAAGCCGTTCATATCGTGCGTTTCATATTTCAGTATGAACATGTATTGTATACCCTAACTCTGTAGAAAGCTAAACGGATTTTATTAGCTCGGAAGAAGATTCGGGAGAATATCTACGGGACTTATTTTGGCCTCAATATATATGTATGTAAATCGCGATAATTTTGAGATGCAATACGAAAACAAAAACTATGGAGAACCGTTTTTATTGTCACCAAATTTTTTCTATTTTTTATACCAAGTAACTTTGAATCAACTAAACGGGAGGGGTTATTGAAATTGCTAGGATCGATAGGGCTAGAAGCTTTCCCCATAAGTTGCGGCTACTATTAGCGATTATACGAATGCATGCTTATGCTATTTATATATATGATTAGATGCGGTTCGGATAGGTGTGCTAGGTGGTGAGGACTCGATAGAAGCGCTTTTTATAAACTAACTAGATTTGTATCGAAATGTGAAACATTGAATATGATAACATGAATTGTACTTTTATGATGTATGCGTATCCACTGGCCTTATTTATTGAGAAGTAACCAAACAATGAGCTGAACCCTCACACAAACACACACACTCGTTTGAGTACACAGATACACACACACAGACTTTCCAGAAAAACAACTTGAGAATTACAATTGAATTTTTTCAGAAAGATTCAGGCTTAGGGCTTTGCGTCACTTTTGTTAATTGTTTTTTGGCGTCCAATTTTACATGATAACTAATGTAGGACTCTAGACAAAACAAATCGAAACTATCGAGCATAGATTAACTATCGAGTATTTTGTAGTGCGTAAGCTAACTAAAACCTAAACCAAACCAAATGAAGATAACTTTTTAGCGCGAGACTCCTTGTGCGAGAAGATTTTGAATTTGAATTTATTTTTAATGACTTTTGAATACGAGACGAAACAATGGAGGAGAGACATTTTATCAGAGATCGTTTTTTATCTATTTAACATTTTCTTGAACCACATACAACAAATATTTGCTAAGTGTACCCTATGGCCTATGAGTTAGTTGTAAGTAGGTGTTTTTCCAAGCCCCCGCTTAGACCACAAAACCAAATCGGAAGTCAGGAGATAGGAGACAGAAGAACAGGGGGAATTCTGCACAAAACCCAATCTAAGAAATATCCAAACACTGCACCCAATTAATTGTACGACATATATCTATCGAGTAACCAGTATTCACGGTCACACGTCTAGAAACTAAGGGAGAATTGTATTGTAAAATGAATGGAATCGACGAACACGAAAACGCCCAAATCTTATGAGTATGTAAGCAAAGCCGAAAACTTGAATTCAAACAGGATAACCGCTCCCCGCGGTCATCTAAACTGCTGAAATTGGCACTTAAGTATATAGGTATACACACCGCATATGTATGTACAACGTAGTAGAATTTTCGACTCAACTAAACTGAACTTGCAAGCGTAGCGCGACATTTGTGCAAGTCCAAGGTCCCCGAGAGCCCATAGACCAACCCATCGATGGGCTGCTAAATCGAATGGGGCTGGGGGCCAACTTCGCGAAAGACAGCTTCTCGTTTTTAGCGTAAATTTTGTTTCACATATGTACGATTAGGCGACCAGCATGATGACGATGCACCTGGCGCACCAGAAAATACATGTAAGCAGTAACTAGAAAATGGAACAATATAATATCAGTGCAACGTAATATATCAGTTAAAATAACAGAGGCAAACAGAACTCGAACTCAACTCATTTAGCACTACCTACCTGCAATTTGAATGTGAAAACAACACTCTCCCCTCATCCCACAACCGCTTCTCCGACGCGACCCCATTAATTTACCTGAATTGCAAATAAAAAAGATGTTCAATTCGATGTGAAAAAACAACAGACGGTGTTTGTGTTTCTCTGGGTGGGTTAGTTTATTTATTCACTGTCGCCCCGAAAGTAGGCAGTAATCGGTGCCCTTTCCCGGAAGAACACTGGAAAAAATGGGGTTTATGTATAGATAAAAATTGTTTAACTTTATAACATTAAAATTAATAGAACATATATTCCAAAGACCCATAACTGAACCCAATATATTACTCAGTCTTGCTATAATGGTCTTATCATTAATTTATTAACTCAGTAAACCATAAAATCCAACACCAACAACGACCTATACGGAACTACGATGACATCTTAAGCGACGAATTGGAACCTTCTACATCCAGAACAGCGACACACCGCCGTCCCGTAACCGAATGTGAAAGCGGCGACGAAGACATGGAGGTCGACCGAATTGATGCCTACATTCAAAAGATCACCAAAAAAGACGTTCCAGAATCAGACCGTAAGCTGAGAAGCCAAATTAAAGATAAATCAATAGTATCTAAACCCCTTAAGGCCAAAGACAAGACCGAAAAACCCACTATTAACACTAAGAATCTAAAACACCAGTAGATCTTTAGTTAAAAAATTTACTCTGCACCCTAGATATGACCCTGCTTATAATACAATGGAACTGCAACGGCTACATGAACAATTATATAAATTTACAACTTATTCTAAAATCCTATATGCCTAAAGTAATCTGCCTTCAAGAAACCCACATCCACTCCCTTCACAACATCCCTATACCCCCAAACTTCACAATTATAGAAAAAAACACAGCCAACAACTCACACGGTGGAGTAGCTATGCTAGTCCACAACTCTATGCAATACGACCGCCTTACAATGAATCACGATTTCGATGCAGTAGGCATAGTCCTACATTCCAAAATGAAAATACGGCTAATAACAACCTATATCCCACCAGATAGAAGTTTTCAGATTAATAACTTGGTTAACATGTTTGGAAACCCTTACGAGAACACAATAATAACGGGGGACTTCAATAGTTGGCATCAAAGCTGGGGGTCGCCTACAAACAATAGAAAAGGAAATATTATATTCAAATACATCATTGATTCAAACCTACTCACTCTAAACGACGGATCTCCTACCCACTTTTCAACTCATAATTCGCTGACGCACGTTGATCTTACAATTAGTACACCAAATCTTGTCACCCACTCAAAGTGGAAAACAGACGAAGACCTCTTTGGAAGCGACCATTTTCCCATACACATATCTCTGTTTGAGGATGTAATGGAAAGAGAAGGTTATGGACAACCAAGATTTAAACTAGACGCAGCTGACTGGTCACTTTTTTCCGTCCTTACGGAGAAGTACCACAATCTAAGAACAAGTAGCAACGAAGTAAATCAAGAAGCAGCAAAAATAATTAAAATTATAAGACAAAGTGCGAACATCTCTATTCCACAATCAAACCCCAGCTTTAACAGAAAGAAAACAGTACCTTGGTGGAGTAAAAACCTTGAAGAACTCAAATCCAACAAAAACAGAGCTTGGAATCAGCTAAAGCGCTGTATTACCACTGAGAATATAATACACTTCAAGAAAACCAAGGCCCTCTTTAGACGACAGTTAAAAGAATCAAAAAAGATAGCACTACAAACTTTTACATCGGAAATTAGCCCAAACTCTACGACTGCTAGAATGTGGTCAAACATTAATACTTTCTGTGGCAGGAAGCTAAAACATGACATCCACTGCATTTCCTCTCCAAATGAATCATCCCGAAACATAACTGGCAAATCGGAAATCGCTCAAACCTTTGCAAACTACTGGTCAGAACAAGCAGCCGACGAGAATTTTAGCTTAGTTTTTCAACAGAAAAAATCCCAAATAGAATCGTCAACTACTCTCTTAGCACCGTGCGCAGAAGCATTGATGATAGACGATAATATCTCTTTTATAGAGTTCTCCAGTGCGTTAAATTCCCTCAAAGGTAAAACTCCTGGCCGCGATAGAATATCATACCCAATGTTAAAGAACCTATCAAACCCTGTAACTCAAAGACTCATAGAGCTATTCAACAATATCCTTAACAGCCACATACCTCAACAATTTAAAAACAGCACAGTCATACCCATCCACAAACCGAATTCCGTAAAGACAGCAGTAAGCTCATACCGCCCCATATCCTTAAACCCATGCATGGCAAAGGTCATGGATAAAATCGTTGCGAACAGGCTGTGGTGGTTTGCTACCAATTGCAAGCTCCTCGATAGCCGTCAACTTGGCTTTCGAAAAGGTATGTCGATATCTGAGTGTCTAGCACTGCTAGATCATCAGACTAACGCTGCCCTATCGACAAGAAGACATTTGTCAATAATAAGCTTGGACTTCGAAAAAGCATACGACAAAATTGGAATCCATACGATAGTAGATGAACTGATCAGATGGCGAATAGGTTCTAGAATTCTAAGATATGTCATTAACTTTCTCAGCAACAGAAGAATAAACATAAAAATAAGAAACGTATATTCAGAAAACAAACCTTTTCACAATGGCATACCACAAGGATCACCCCTATCAGTGATACTCTTCCTTATCGCGTACAATAAATTGTGCCGCACGATTGCTATCCACAAGGAGTTCAACTTCTTTTCCTACGCCGACGACTTCACTATAGTAAGACAGGTCAGGAAAAGGACCATGAACGCAAACATAAATGCACTTTTCACTGACATCCTAAATTGGTGTAGTTATTCTGGCGCGAAGCTTTCCATCTCCAAGTGCAAGCACTTACACATATGTAGAAAAACCAACTGCAATTTCAAAATCAACTCGACCGCTTACCCTCTAAGCTCAAGCGACCACATAAAGGTTCTTGGTTTAACCATAACCAAGAGATACAGATGGAAGAAACATATTGACTCACTGACAGTCCAAATCTCCAAGCGTCTCAACATCATAAAATGGTTGGCAAGCCAGAAATACAACTGCGATACAAGGACTCTTATAAGCCTCACAAATGCCCTAATAATGGCCAAAATCGACTACTGCCTCCCTTTCTACGGAAACTGCCCTGCAACATACTTAAAAAAACTTAAAGCCAATTACCACTCAGCCTTAAGGCTGGCGTTTGGAGCATTTCGCACCACCCCCATCAACAATCTCCTTTTCGAAGCCCAATTGATGCCAATAGAGCTAAGGTTTGAAATGAGCATAGCAAAGATGTGCAAGTCATTACTGTTCTCAGCAAACACCCCAATCCAAACCATCCTACAAAAAATAAAGAAGTCTATACGAAGACCCAGACTCCAATCAGTCTTACGTAAAGCATTCCAATTCTCCAAAGATAATGGCACATTTACGCCACCTATAAAACCATACAAGCAAAAGACACCACCATGGTTTTTCTCAAAAGACACGGTTAACCTTTCTCTGCATTATACAACAAAGGCAATCACTCCGCCAACAGTATACCAACAAAAATTTATATCTCTCAAGGAAAACTTTCATAACTACGGATTTATCTACACGGACGGTTCCAAATCAGCCCAAGGAGTATCCTATAGCGTCACGACAGAAACAACAGTAATTAAAACAGCCATTCTTCCGACACTCAGCTCAATTTATACAGCAGAGGTGGCAGCCATCTATGCTGCATGTAAATACGCTGACAAGCAAAAGAAAAAAGTGGTTATCTGCTCTGACTCCCTATCTGCTGTAACTTCAGTTACCAACACCAATAACCAATCTTTCTATACCGTTCGTATTCGAGACATCCTCAACCGCCACCAACCAAAGATTATATTACTGTGGATTCCAGGCCATAACAATATTCCTGGTAACGACACAGCAGACCTAGCAGCAAAAGAAGCTCACAAATTCCCACAGGTTATGGAATGCAACTATAACTTTACAGACACACAGTTATTCATTAAAAATACCTTCAAAAAACAAATGGAATCGATCTGGCAAAACGCATCTAACCACTACAAATATTTCAACGAAAAAAAATTATCAATTAAAGATTACACCATCCCATCCGAAGACAACATCAACCGCAGAGATCTCACAAAATTCTTAAGACTACGTTTTGGACACACTAGATACACCCATGAGCATGTTCTCAATAAACAACCCCCACCCCAGTGCGAGCACTGCAGTACGCGAAACAACGTGCGGCACTTTTTCCTAGAGTGTCCAGTTCATGAAACTTCAAGAAGCAACACCCTCTCCATAAAGTCACCTGATGCCCTATCCCCAAAATCCACCAATATCGCCAGCGCCAATGTTTTCATCAAGGCCATACGCTTATATAACAATATATAAATTTTGTAAATAACCATATATAAATACACTTTTTCAGAAAATATGTAAATAACATCCTCCTAGCTTAAGGCCCAGTAGCTATAGCTAAATTAAGTGGTTGGTGGCAATTTGCAATTGTCCCAAAACCAGAATATAAATAAATAAAAATAAAATTTATTAACCCCGCTATAACATTGAGTGTTTTACTATATTAATATGTTATTTTTTAGTCTCATATTTAAGATAGTATTTTCCTTTTAATTTAAACCTTTTCCCCCCCTGTGAACTTGATATATCCCACCTACATCCTTCACAATAACTAAGATAATACCATAATAAAGATCATATTTTCCCTTCAATTTTACATTTTATCCCTCCCTGTATATTTGTTATATCCCCAGCACATCCTTCACAATAACTACTTAAACACTTTGCTTTTTATTCAGTTTTAAATTTATATCACATTAAAGTTTAAATTAACAGAATTACAAAAGTTAGTCGATTCGTCAGTTGGTTCTGCTGCAGCTGCAGTTTTTCCTTTACAATCATCATTATTATTATTACATTTTCAATTATCGGAAGCTAATTGGGTCTGCCGTCTGCCAAAGGCGACAGCGGCGTTGACAGGACGGCCGGGTCTGGTTATTCATTAATCCATTAATCGTTAGCATATATAGTCAAACATTTAACATAGAGTCACACTTAAAGCTATCACTAAATTGGTTTTAAGCTAATT